AGAGAAGAGAAGAGAAGAGAAGAGAAGAGAAGAGAAGAGAAGAGAAGAGAAGAGAAGAGAAGAGAAGAGAAGAGAAGGTCATGATTCAGTTAGGCCCATTTCAGTATCACAGGCTCACAGTTTGTCCTTTTCTGTAATATAGCATGGTATTCATTCATTCATTCATTCATTCATTCATTCATTCATTCATTCATTCATTCAATATGGCTGCCTATCTCTGTCTAGTGACTCTGGTACTATGTCAATGGAAGTATGTCAATCCATAGTAACAGATTGGACAGAAGAAAGAGGAGGAAACTAGAAGCAGTAAAGAAGTGAAAACCATGAAAGACAGATTGCCCCAGGATATGACCTTGGCTGTGTTCATAGAAAACCACTTAACCAGGTCAGGTAAAGATCTAGCAGATGCAGTCAAACAACAGGCTATTCTTATGCTGCTAACCTTAGTTATTGTGTTTATGACTGAGTTAAATGGTTTGTCTGAGCTAAATTGTTTGTATGACTGAGCATACAAACTGAGCTCATTTGTTTAATTTATGGTTCAGGAACTTGAACAAACCCTGAAAATGAGTTCCTTCCATACACTGCTTAAATAGGTTGTCTGCATACAGCCACAATATTTCAGTGTATTGCTGTATGCTACACACAGGTATGGTACCTGACAGGTGAAATAAAAATATTTTAAATGAAACAAAATCAGGCTTCTAATCTGCATATTTCTCTTGAGGTGTGCAAAAGGTCTCCCTATTTGGTCATCAAAATGTGGGATGGAAGTGCGACTACTTTCTAACCACACCCCTGAATGCTAAAAGAAATCTAATTGGGCTTTCATGATTAATTAGATTAACACAAATCTGCTAGAAGACCAATGTGTGCCTCAGATTCACAGTGAAGAAAACAGTGACCATTTTACTCCACTGGAGTGATAGCTAAGGAAACCCTAGGATTTAGGATCATATGGATTTGATCTCTGACAAAACTTGATACTAGCTAATATTTCTTTAGAGACATTCACATGCATATCAATTATGTATATTTATGCAGAAACACCACCAAGTTCTTCAGGAGGTTTAGGATTGCAGCTTATGTGACCCTTGAGAAGCAATCTGAAAAAAACCAATTTTAAATATAAAGATTTAAAATTAAAAAGACTTAAACTTATTAAGGAAAGAGACCACTTATTTACAAAAAGCATGGTCCAGGAAGAAGAATCAGATTTCAAACTTACTGGCTCTTACTATGCTACATCGGGAAGAAGAATCACTTCATTGTAAACATCTCACCAACCTTGATTCCAAGCTCTATGTTTTCTCCACCATAAACATCCATCCCTGGATCGAGAAGACCGATTTCCCCAAAGAACTTCCGGTTCACCACAAAAGAACATCCAATCATAGCTGGTGTCCTGAGGAATAAAAAAGAGCTTTATTATTTTGTTTTGACTATTCCATTCCCAAGAACTAGAGGTCCAGCTGTTCATGGAGAACATCTATTGCGATAGAAGTCTAAATCAGAAATAGACAATCTGATGGTTGTGAGCATCGTTGTGCCTGCAGACCCCTCCTTTGGTGCATGAGAAGCTCCCTGCTAACTTGTTAACGATTCTTCTACTTAAGATTCTTTTAATTAATCTAATTAGGTTCTTCTAATTAAAAAAAGAAATGGACAAAGTGTCAGCTTTTAACAGCATCTCTATTTGTGAGGATGCCTCTGGGGCTCATGGAGATGCCACAAGAATGCTCAGAGGACTTCTCAGAAGTGGATGCAGCTCAGTGCTCTGTTCTGAAGGGTATCCCACTCAAGTATCCAAGAAAACACAAAGTTAAATCTGGAGGGGACAGTTTATCCCTGAAGGCCTTGAGGGGATGACAAGAACAAGTTGACCAGTTTGTCTTCCAATAAAAATGTGCTTTGTAACTGGCAGTATTCATTAAAATAGTTATTTTGTGATTAGCTGTGACATGCCTACAAATTCCAAATTTAACCCCCCCGCCAGCTCCCCTCCCCATTCTTTTAATCTGCTCTAAGTAATTGATTCTTTTGTGGCACTACTGTTATCGTGAAGATATTTCTTTTCATCCTCGGTGGAAATCACGCTTCCTGAAACCTAACACTCACGAGCCCTGATTTTGTCAACAGTGCTTTTGTTGTGAAAGATTATCTTAGACACAGACATGCTAACAATTTACTAGGGCTGGATGAAGCTCCGATTCACTCGAGTCACCCTTTTGAATTGAACACCCCAATTCATTTGATGCATTGAATGGAACCATAAGCCGTCAGATTGATTTTGGTGAGCCAATAAACTCTTGTGCATGCACACAGGTGCTTCTTTTAATGGAATCAACAACATGTTGACTTACATTATTTATCTATTTGATTTCTACCCTGCCTTTCCTTCAGGAGCACAGAGCAGCAAATATACATTAGCAGTCCCTACTTGTATTTTCCCAACAACAATCTGTGAGATAGGGCTAAGAGAAAGCAACTAATCCAAGTCATTCAGTGACCCTTAGTCTACCCATTCCTAGTCCAACACCCTCACAACTGCACCAGACGTGCTCTTGGGCTAAAAGAGAAGGATCTGCTCCAAATCACCAGTGAGTTTCTCAGGCTGAAATAGGTCTGGGAAAACAACTTTAGCACTGCCTGGGAATGGAAGGGTGGGGGTTCCAACTGGCTATATGCTAAAGTCATGCACTGATGAATAGAACTGGGAAGCAATTCATCAAGATCAGATCAGACAGAGATTGGAGGATCGTAATCAGTGATAAGAATGTTCACAATCAGCCGCCCTGCAGCAAATCACATTTGTCCCAGCAACCTAACTGGTTAAAGGAAGGCTAAGATGACATGGAAAAGAATGTGTGATGGTTGATAGTGGCAAAGGATAAAAGAATAAGCTTCACAAGTCTTTGTTGGAAGACCCATCATTCAGATGCTCCACTTGTTGCAATGGGGCTGCTTTTTCAAGTTGAGTTCAGCCAATGTAACTGTGTGGTATGATTTTTTTTCTTTTTTTTCAGATTTTGAAATTAATAAAGTTTTAATGTTGCTAAAACTCAGTGTCTTACGCTGCTCATTGCATAAGAATAGGCTACCTCTCCTGAGACTGGCCGCTGCCTCTCAATATCAACAAGACTCCCAATTGAATGAGAAAGTGAGAGTAGTCTTCCTTGGAGCTAAATTCCTATATAAGTCTCCACAGGACTTCTTTCCACTGAAGCACAAACTACAGATAACCTAGTTAGGTACATTTATGGAGGAATCTCCCTTTGTAAACCAGTAACGGTGTTACTTCAGGTAGAATTCTTTCCCATTTTCAGACTTTTAGGAAGAACCAGCTGACCAGGAAGTTATATTGAACATGGTTACTTGGTCTTCTGGAGCTTTGAGATAGCATTGCTTGTCTCCTTATGCTGCACCTAAATGATATTACCTGTCTTTCTCTCCATGCCTGCCTTTGCTTCCAGGTACAATTTCAGTTTCTGTGCTTGATTTTTAAAAGTAAAGATGGATCAATAAGTGGCAATCTTGTTCTCCGGACAGGTCCCACAAATTTAGCTATATGTTCAGTTGCATAAATCATAGTATAGCAAGGCCAGCAAAGTCACTTCTGAAGGGAGTAGCACCCTACTCTCCAGATCAGTGTATCTCGACCTTGACAGCTTTCAGAGGTGTGGACTTCAACTCCCAGAATCCCCCAGCCAGCAAG